TTCTTAATAATGACAATTTTTTATCATTATTATTATATATACATATTGAAGACATTCAAGGAGATTGAATTCCGATCAATTCAGTGTAACAATAGAATTTCGTGCTAGTACGTGAACAATGGCATTCTGTTATATCGTTTGTATAGGTGCATACGGGAGATATGTATTTCCCTTCCTGGCCTCTCTCTCGATAAATTCTATTTGTTCAGTAAATAATTCATTATTTCAGTCAATAATACGACTAAAAGTGACCCTAAATACGTAAATTATACATGTAGCTATACAGTACCAAAAGCAAACATTCATACACACAACCAACCTCAAAAAAATATTGCGTAATGCGAAAATTTATTAATTTTTATATTGAAAAGCGATCGGTTGTGAACATACTATGGATACCTACTCACATAGTATTCTGACTTGCACACGTACTTTATTATTCATAAAGATCCCACCTGTGTTATCCTATCGTTTAACGTCGCACTATCTAGCCTAATTGCAATAGGGAATCACAATTTTAAGTAAATTTTTAAAGTACGAAAAAATTGTAAGAAAACGGAAGTTGTAATCCGAAGCCGTCAAGGGGGATAAACATTGCAATACCAGTTAATTGAATAACTACTTTGTTCATCCCTAACAGTATGCAGTACTATTTAACGTACACCTAGTATTTAAAACACAAAAGAAAGAAAAAATTAACGTTATGTAAATTTTAATAGGTACATTAATGTATCCTCTGGATAGGTAATAGTAATTACCATTGAGGTATTGTCAGGGTGCATTGCCTTTTTTATGGGTGGTTAGTCAATTCTCTTTACACACACACACTTTTATACCTTTGTACATACACTAAAGAAATAAATATATCCAAGTCGCGCAATACATCAGGCATTTAGCATACTTCATTTGCAGCGATCATGTACGGTCGTGCAAATCAGCGTTCTGCAGTGGCGTTTGATACACGCCCTGTTTGATGTAACACTCTACAAAGAAGTCGAACTAATGTTCGTCTAGAAATTCACGCATTTGTCAATAATACAATAAAACATTCAAATACGTTTTTCTCAAAAACGGTGGACTATCGGACCACCAAACCTCTCCATAATTTTCTTGTTTTACAGTGCCCTATCGTCCTTCAGCAACATTGCTACTTATTTCAGGAACATCCTGTGTAAATTCATTATTAAAAGAATAGGAGAGCAGAGGTCTCTATAGAGCTTAATAGAAAATAGGCGAGAAAGTTGGTAGGACACCTTCTCAGGTACGAAGGTCTAGACAAAAACGGGAGTTAGGAGGAGTTGAGGTAGACCTAGATTAGATTACAGTTTGCAAATAGTTAAGGATGTGGGATGTTCTAGTTTTAGGGAAATGCGAAGATTAGCTCATGATAGGAAGGAGTGGAAATACGTGTCCAAGCAGTCTTAGGACTGATGACTTTATGATGATGATGCAGTGATCAAGTTGATAATGTTTTATACAAACTTTAATTGTACTTTTATCTCAATTAATGACATACTTTTATTAATTATGTTGCGTAACTAAGGCATTTGTTAATTTGAATAGAATCATATTTCAGGCATCGTCTGTTTGCTGTAAATATATTTACAACTCAATTCGTGGTTAGTTACATCCGGGACGCCTCAGGGGTCTGTTTGTGGCCCTTTATTTTGAAATATCATTAGTAATAAACAAACACCTAATACGCTGGTCATCAGTATTTTGTCGAAACCGTCAGACGTGAATCGTGATTTCGACCTTCTTTGGTTTCGTCAGCACGTCGTAGACAGAACACAAACTAACTCTACCTGCTGCCCTTAGACAGCGCTTTCTGAATTACTTCAAGCTGCGTAGTAAACGCCATCTAACGCTGTCTCTGCTCTGAAACTTTTTAAAGGTAGTGTACAAGGACATAGGTATATCTACACACAAACTACATCGATAATGTTATCTATTTAAATACGAGATCGTTCTTATATATGTATATGTATGTATACTTATATATATTGTACAAATATCGTTAAATCCTTGTATCTATCCGAAGGTAAAGGCAATAAAATAGAATTACTATGTTGAAAAGGAGCTAGCGAAGCTCATTCGAGAATTTACTTTAATCCTCAATTCATTCTCGAATAAAGTGAAATGTACAGGTGAATTTGATATCCAACCTAAGCCTGTTAAGGAGACACAACAAATAAAGAAAAATTGCTTGGTTCTGCTACTTTCAAGCTATAGAGGTATCTGCCTAATACAAATTTACTGCTATCTCCTTGACCAGGCTTCCACTTTGGATATCCCATAAATTTTGCAAATGATCATTAATAGCATACTAAACATTACTTTGCGACTTTCAAAGTTTACAGCTTAATTTTCATTACATAATATTCCAAAAATCTTGTGCAGGAAGATAAGTTCTCCGATCTTTGCTGAAATTCCAATCCTCTTTATTTTTAATAAAGTTTATTCATCACCTATCCAATCAGAATGCTGTCTATTGATGTTGAGAGAAATTAGTGAAACATATTACAATTAATTCTTTTTAAAGCGAATTTCTGTTTCCAATAAGAATAACCTTATTTAAAGATATTTCTTCAAGGCTTACGTTAATCATATTTTTTTCAAAGTATGCCAGTAGGAAAAATTTCCATTCAATTTCCATTAAAAAAATGCCATTAAATTACTACTGATAATAAAAAATGGTAATAAATGGAGAATTGCCAATGGGATTCCCATTCCCGAACTCTTTGCGTTAGGCAATGAAAATCCCATTGCGTTCCATTGGAACTTCATCAGCATGCTTTTTTCCATAATCCATATTATTTTGTTGAGAATTTGGTTCTTCAGGTACCTGAACCAAGGCACGTGCCTGGATGTCTGGCTCTTCATCATTGTGTTTAGATTTTTTTT